TCACTCAATAAAGTAGGTGGCAGAGCTTCACGTCGAGCAAGGGGGCCCCATCTCTCTGGCCACAAATAATCTAATTTCATCACTGCCCCTGAAGAGGGGTCACCAAAGGGTCTCATAGCCACAGGTCCCACATCCACCTCCCGCAGGAAGCATCAAACCCCTCTGCAGCCTTTAAAACTCTAGTACAGTCTGACCCCCGCAGCGTCCTGAAGCTCGCTCAGTGACCCCCACTGCCTGAAATCAATCCATCGCCCCCGTCGACGGCCTTCGCGCTCCATTGCCCCTTCTTGGTTCCTTCCGCCTGCGAGACCCGAGGGGCGTCTAGGTGGGCTCGGTGCCCCGCCCCGTTTTGGAGCAACACGCGCCGCCACGCGCATCTGCCACCACCAGAGGGCGCCCGCGCCCAGGCTGCGGCTTCCATTCAACCGCGGGGTGTCGGGGAGAAACTGAGGGAGGATCCTCGGAGCTGTGGAAGCTTCTGGGGGAAGCGGGTAGGAGGGTGGCTTCGGGACCTGGCTTGGAACATTGGCGGAATGTTTCTGGCTCCATCTGAGTCTCTGTCTCTAGGTCTCTCTCTCTCCCCTGTTCTCTCCTCTCTGTCTCTGTGTCTGAGCGTCTCTTGCCACTCTGTCCCCCAGCGCCGCGGAGGCAGCCGCCCTGGAGCGGGAGCTGCTAGAGGATTATCGCTTTGGGCGGCAGCAGCTAGTGGAGTTGTGCGGTCATGCTAGTGCCGTGGCTGTGACCAAGGTACCTGACCCCTGACTCCCACCCCTGACCCCAACCAGAGGGCCAGCCCACCCAGGCAGAGGACTAGCTGCGTGGCCCCTGTGGCCAGGATGGCTCAGCCTTCAAGAAGCCCCTCTTTGCTTCCAGCTACCCCGGCCCATGGTTCACATGGGGAAACTGAGGCCCAGAGAGGACCATCACTGGTCCAACCCAGACAGGACCTGAGACCCACTGTGTCAGAGCAGGTCAGGGCAGGGCTATCACGTGGACGGTGCCAAGGCCCTTGAGGTGTAGATACCAGGTCCCCCAGCAGACGTGACCCGCTTGCTTCTGCCACACCCTGGAGCTTGGGCAGGGTGATGTTGGCTCCTGCAGTCTGAGCACCCTCAAACAACCGTGTGCTGCAGGTGGGGAAACTGGGGCCCAGAAGTGGGGAGGGACCTGCCCAGGGTCACAGTGGGTTACAAGCAGGGCTGTCCCCCAACCACGCCAGGCCTCAATGCCGTCCTCTGAGCGGGTAATTGGTGGTACCGACGTAGCAGCTGAGAAACACACGGCCCTCAGAAAAGCGTCCCGGGTGGTGAGGGCCCCGGCACACAGCGCCCTGCTCCCTCTTTCTTATTGCCACTGTGTACTTTTTAAAAAACTCAGTATCTTTCTTACATGGACTCAATTTTTTCTTAACTTAAATGTTTATATTTCCAAATGAAACGAGTCCTGGGCGAGATGCCCAAAGAAGGAGGAAACTCTAAAAATGAAAGCCCCAAAGAGAAACCTAGCGTATTAAACTGGTGCTCGGTGCGACTCCAGCTCTCACACCGAAAGCCCATCGCCCACGCAGAAGGCCCCAGGCCCAGCCGGCGGGACACGGTCTTGGGTCTGGGATTCTGGGCCCGGCGTGGCTGGGATCGCAGGCACATTCGGGGTGGGTCAGGATGGCACTGGGACCAAGGGGAGGACACTCAAAAAGAGAATAATTTGCCCTCTGTGTGGTTGGAGCCGGGGACTCACTGGGGCTTGGGAGGTGCCCCACGGGCCCGCCTGGCCAGTGCCATTGTCACTCCCATTTGATAGACACAAAACTGAGGCTGGGAAAGACGGGGCCAGGGCCACTCGGAGTCAGGGCAGGGTTGGGACTCAAACACCTGTGTTACAAAGAGCTGCACGTGTCCACAGAGACAGAATAGAGTCTGAAAGATGGAGACAGAGACCAAGAGAGACGTGGAGAGACTTGATGGGGAGAGACAGTCTGAGAGATACAGACAGGTGAAAACAGAGACAGAGACATGGCGTCTGAGAGATACAAAGAGACACAGACAGACAGAGACAGTCACCAGACGCTTTGGGGCCTCCAGGAGGGGCCGAGGTCTGGAAACGTGGCGGGGGAGGGGCAGCCACGGGGTGGAAAAAGGTGGAAGAATGTCTCCGGCTCAGGCAGAGAGTAAACAAACCGCACTCCAGGCGACGGGCAGTGGCTGGATGCACGTTTTTCCGGCTCTGGTTTGGCAGAGCCTGAGACCTGGACTTTGCGTCTCCAATGGGGAGACTGAGGCCCCAAGAGGCCCAGCCTCTCAGCCAGAATGCCTCTCCTTTTGTCCCATCCTGTTGCTTCCAGGCCCAAGCCCCGTCCCTTCCCCTCCTCCTGGCCTCAGTTTCCCCACTTGAGCAAAGAGGAATCTCAAGCTGTGCCTTTGCCTTTGCTGTGCCTCCCGCCAGGTGTTCCCCTTGCCCGCTCTCTCCCGGAAGGAGAGGACGGTGCTGGTCGTGTGCGGCCCGGAGCAGAACGGGGCGGTGGGGCTGGTCTGCGCCCGGCACCTGCGGGTGTTTGTAAGTAGCAAGGAGCCCCTCCGCCTCCCTGGGTCCCTGTCCCTGCGGAAATCATTCCTTCTCTTGATAGCATCCCGGAGGGACGTCCATGCTGGGACAGGTTACAGAACATGCCCAGAGCTTGTCCCAGATTACCAGGGCAGGGCAGCCTGGGCGGGCCCCAGCGCTGACCACTTTTTGCACCCCCAGGAGTACGAGCCGACCATCTTCTACCCCACACGCTCACTGGACCTGCTGCACCGGGACCTGACCACCCAGTGCGAGAAGATGGACATTCCTTTTCTGTCCTACCTGCCCACCGAGGTCAGCGCTGGGTGGCATGTGAGGGTACAGGCACGGGACAGTGCCCCAAGGCCACCCCCTGACCCTGCCCACCCTTCCAGGTGCAGCTCATCAACGAAGCCTACGGGCTGGTGGTGGACGCAGTGCTGGGCCCCGGCGTGGAGCCGGGTGAGGTCGGGGGCCCCTGCACCCGAGCACTGGCCACGCTTAAGCTGTTGTCCATCCCCCTCGTGAGCCTGGACATTCCCTCAGGCACGCTGGGCAGAGGGGGGCGCGCGTTGGGGCCTTGGGGGCTTGGGTGGAGGCCCCTGTGCCCCAGCTGCTGGTGGCCCCCGCCTGTCTGCCTGCTCTGAACCTGTTTCCCCAGCGTGGATGGAGCGTGCACTCTGGCTGTGGCCGAGGGTCACACCCATCCTGCGGATGGCGAAGACCAAGGCTCCTGCCCCAGGTGACCCCAGGTCTCCTCCTCCCCCTGTGCCCAGCCCGCGTGCCCTCTGCCCACCCCTGGCCCAGTCGCCTGGGCAGACGTGAGCTCACTCGGCAAAGGCCTCGCCCGCCCTGGCCGCCGCCCCGCGCCTGTTGGAGCCATTAGGCGATGGCAGACGGAATAAACAGCCGCTGGCCAGCCGGACCCTCTGTGGGGGTGGCTGGACTCTGGGGGATGTCCCCCAGCTTTCAGGATCCCAGAGCCATCCCAGCGGGGTGCCACAGAGCAGGGGGGCACTAAGGGAGGAGGTGGGCTGTCTGATCCGAGGGGGGAGGCTGCGGGCTCAGCCTAGGACACAGAGGGTGGCCCTGTCAAGTCAGAGGGAACTGTTAGGAGCCTCTAGTCTGAGGGTGGAGGCTAGGGTCAGAGGAGGAAGGATTGAAGTCAGAGAGAGGAGCAAGTGGCTTCTGGTTAGTGTCCCCCAAGTCAGGTCAGAGACAGAAGAGAAGGCGAGGCTGCTAGACTGAAAGTGGAGGCTATTGGAGAGGTGGCTCAGGCTGCAGCCCAGTGAGGGAGGGGTCGGGGTCCTGCCAAGTTAAAAGGCAGGGTCTGGTCCGAAGGTGAGGGCAGGGATCTCAGGTCAGAAGGAGTCTCTAGTCTTGAGTGGGGAGGAGTAGGGTCCTGTTAGAGGCAAGAAGCTGGGGCAAAGACAGATCTGACAGGGGATGGCTTGTCTCAGGGCACAGGCCAGAGGGCCAGGCTGGGGTCTGGATGGGAGGAGGCTGAGTCTAAGGCAGAGGCCCTAGAAGGATGGGCAGGGAGGTGTGGGGACAGATGCCAGGTCAGAAGGCAGACCTGGCTCTGCCGGGAAGGGGCAGCAGGGGGAAATGCCGTCGGCTGAAGAGAGAGGCTGGGTCAGACGGCGGGAAACGTCTTCGAGGAGGGAGAGAGACTCGGTGTTGGGGAGGCCGGGCCGCCCTCCCAGCTCCCGCTCCCCCGCCCCTCCTCCCTCAGGCTGGGACGCGGAGACCGGCGGCGACGCTGAAGACGGGCTGCGGCCCGACGTGCTGGTGTCGCTCGCGGCGCCCAAGCGCTGCGCCGGCCGCTTCTCCGGGCGCCACCACTTCGTGGCGGGCAGGTTCGTGCCGGACGACGTGCGCCGCAAGTTCGCTCTTCGCCTGCCGGGCTACACCGGCACCGACTGCGTGGCGGCGCTGTGACCGCCACCCGCGCCCCGCCGCCCGGACCCGCGCCAATAAACAGCCCCTCCCCCCACCGCCTCGCCTCCGCCTCCTTTGTGCCGGGTCGCCGCGGGGTGGGCGCACTCGCCGAGGGCCCTCCCGCCGGCCCCGGCCGCCCGAGGGTAGCTGTAGAGGGGGGCTTCCCGCTGGCCTCCGAGAGATCTAGAGCCAGAAGAACGGAGGGTGGCTTCAGGGTGGGACGGCCTAAAGCCGGTAGGATCGAAGTTAGACGCGCGGAGGACTTCCAGCCGCCTCCAGGCAGCTTCAGGCTCGATTCCAAGTGGCTCTTCCCGCAGGCAGCTTGGGATCCGACGCGGAGGACGGCGGGTGGGCTCCGGGAGGAGTTCCAGCCCCGACGGGGGAACCCAGGCCAGCCCTGGGGGCGGAGGCACAGCCGGACGCACCGAGGGGGGCGACCCAGAGGGGTTGCTCGGGCGCCTGTCACCCAGGCCAGGGGGCGGGGCTTTAAAGGGGCGGGGCCTGCGGGCGCCTCCCGCCCCCACCCTCAGTCCCAGGGGCTGCCAGACCCGCCGGAGTCCGACCCGAGCGCGCCGCGGAGCCCGGACCTTCCCTTGGACACTCGGACCGGGCCATGGCTTCACTGCCGCGCCTGCTCTGTCTCTGCGTCGCCGCCGCGCACCTGGCGGGGGCCCGAGGTGAGGCGCCACTCGAACCCGGCCCAGCCCCCCAAGGCCCGGCCGCCGCCTCCAGTGCAGCCGCGCCCAGGGAAGGAACCAAGGGGCCCGCGCACTCCCCGGGACGGGGATGCGGGGAGGGGATGGCAACGGGGAGATGGAGCTCCGGGACCACCCGGGGCGGGGAGCGGAGCTCGTCCTTTCTCTTCCTTCGGCGAAGACACGGTAGGAGCGCCAGGGTGGATACGAACTTCGGGTTCCTCTGGGTCCCCAGGACCCGGGCGCACCTGACCCAGCCCCGCGCGATTGGGCCTGGAATCGCCAGGTCTGCCGCGCTGGGTCGAAGGGGTCAGAGCTGTCCCCCCAACCCCCACACCTAAACCCACCCACCCACACTGCCCAAGAAGAAATGCCCATCTCTGGAACGCTCGGTGGGGCGGGGGAGGGGCCCATTTCTCAGGTGAGGAGACCGAGGCTCCGAGGACGAAGGGACTTGCCCGAGGCAATCACCCTGCCCTGCCCCGGCTGTCTTGTACAGCTAGATGCCAAGGACTTCCGGCTCCCAGCTTGGGCCCCTAGTAGAAGGGTGGAAGGTAGACTGAGGGAAGGACTTCCACCTGGCCAAATGGATGACAGGGGACAGAGCCCAGCCTGAGAGCAGAGTCACAACCAACTGAACTGGTGGTAGCTGAACACACTCGGGGGGTGATCCCAGACTCTGGGAGCAGGGTGCATATGGACTTCCCCAGCCCCTGGGGTTGGAGCTAAGTCAGAGAGAGGGACGGGGCTGCAGGAGTCTGGATGGTGGTCATGGGCAGGCTTCCTGGAGGAGGGTGTGCTGCAGTCTCCAGGGCTAGACCTGGGTTCTGGGCTCTCAGAGCCTCAGTTTCCTCCCCTGTAAAATGGGGATGATCGTGTACACGCCTTGCCTACGAGGAGGCTCCCAGCGGTCCTCATCAGCGCGCTCCCTTCCCCTCGTCCTCACCCCTCCCACAGACACCACCTCCACTGAGGAGCCCACGGCGACTGCATGGGGCCTGGAAGGACGGTCTGTGCACCCCGACCAGCCCTCACCAGCCCTGGAGGACTGGGAAGGTGAGGCATCCTGGGCCCGAGTCCCATCTGCGCTGTGGACTCGGGGTGTTAGCTCGGGCTGGCGGGATCGGGGGGGACACAAACTGGGAGAAGACCCAGAACCCTCCAGGTCCCTGGACACGGCAGCCCGTGGATGTGATGCCCCAAGAGACCTCAGTTAGGGGTGTAAGAGGCTGTCGGACAGGGCAAGATCTCTGCGTGCACGATGGGCCAGCTCAGCACCGGGCAGCAGACCTAGGGCTGGGGCGGGGGGACGCCCCCTCCCCTGCTCGCATTTTGAGACCCCTGGACCCGGGTCGTGGGCGGGCGCAGAGGGGCTCAGATAGCAGGTAAGGCCCTTGCACCACCGATGGGGCCGACAGGCTGCGGCCCGGGTCCCAGCGCGTGCGGTGCCCGCAGAGGCCAGCGAGTGGACGTCCTGGTTCAACGTGGACCACCCCGGAGGCGACGGCGACTTCGAGAGCCTGGCCGCCATCCGCTTCTACTACGGGCCGGCACGCGTGTGCCCGCGGCCGCTGGCGCTGGAAGCGCGCACCACGGACTGGGCGCTGCCGTCCGCGGTGGGCGAGCGCGTGCACGTGAACCCCACGCGCGGCTTCTGGTGTCTCAACCGCGAGCAGCCGCGCGGCCGCCGCTGCTCCAACTACCACGTGCGCTTCCGCTGCCCGCTCGGTGAGGGCGGGGCCTGCGGGAGGGGCGGGGCCTTGGGAAGGCACGGAAGGGCTTGAAATAGGGGACAGGTGGGTGGGGCCTGAAGGGGTGGGTGGGGAGGGGGCAGGGCCGCGTTGGTGTGGGCGTGGCTAGGAGCCGGGACCCCCACAGGAGCGGGGCCAGGAGGGGGCGGGGCTTTTGAGGCGAGGCGCTGGGAACGGCGGGGGCACAGGTGCACGGCAAGGACACCTGGAGAGTCTTGAGCCCCAGGTGTGCACAGAACGCAGGGAGAGCAGCGGAACTGGACTGACTGCGGGGAGTTTATCTGGGAGCGGGGCGGGGCGGCACCTGAACTGCATCCAGGACAGGTGTGCCCGGCGGGGAAGACTGAAGGGGGTGGTGGGCGGAACGGCTCCTCGGAGCCCCCAACCTAGGACACACCTGTGTGTGTGTGTGTGTGGCGGGGGGAGATCCTTCAGTCCCGCACTGTCACCAGGTTCCGGAAGCGCGGTTCCCGGGGAGGGCGGCTGCCTGACCTCCCTCCCTGCCCTCCGCAGAGACCGCGTGGGGCGCGTGGGGCCCGTGGGGTCCCTGCTCAGGCAGCTGCGGGCCAGGCCGTCGCCTGCGCCGCCGCCGCTGCCCAAGCCCCTCTGGGGATGCGTGTCCCGGGCGCACCCTGGAGGCGCAGAAGTGTGTCCGGCCGCGGTGCCCAGGTAGGAGGGGCGGGGCCCGGGGGAGTGGCCGTGTTTAGAGTAGAGGGGCGGTTAGGGCGGGGCCTGTTGGAGAAGGTGGGGTTAGAGGCGGGGTCTGGTCGTGGAGGGGCGGTGCCTAGAGGGGAGGGGCTGGTCGGGACGGGGCCCGGAGAGTAGAGGCGAGTGAAGGGCGGGGCCTGGGCGTAGGGGCGGGGCCTAGAGGACCTGCACTCCGGAGCCAAGTCGGGACTGGCCCACCCTTCCCTCCTGGGCCCAAGTAGCACTGGGGACTGTGCACATCTGGACGAGTGGACGCCACGGGGGTCGTGGGCAGGTAGACGGGCAGATATTACAGGGCGCTTCCCCTGTGTGCTTGCCGAGCGTACGGACGTTCTGTGGGCAAACAGAAGTCAGTTCATACACTTGGGGGCCACACGTGCTTGGCATTTGCAGCCCCCACCGGTTCCCCACGCCCACGCAGACACGCGCTCACGCCCTGGCAGACACGATGCCCAGGCCCTCCCAGGGCCAGACACCAGGCCAGCCAGGAGGCGACTGGAAATTCCGCTCGCCTGGGCTCCACAAACACGGTCTGGAGCCTGCCACAGGGTGGGGGCGCATGGTGGCCAATGGGGCGTAGGGGTCCCCACCCCATCCAGCCTGGCTCTGCCCTCCTGGTGCCTCTGCCCTGAAGTTTCCGGTGGAATTTTCCATTTTCTGGAGAAACCACGGGATTGGGAGGGGAGGCAGAGGTTCTCTGCCCAAGAAAGCAGCCCTCTTTGGGCCCCCAGCCCCTGCCTAGACATTTTCTCTCCTGCTGGGAGGGGCCTCTCCATCTTTTAAGACTCACCTCTCCTGTCCCCTCCTCCAGGACCTCTTTCCTACCTCTCTGGACCCTAATTCCCTTCCCTGGCACAGCCCTGGGGCCCATATCCTCCCTCACACTAGGGGCTGCTCCAAAGCCAGGCCCTTTTAAAGCCTCTGAGGGGCATATGTGATGGTTCCAGGTGTGTTTGTTGAGCGACTGATTGAGCAGAAAGCCCTCCCCAAGAGGGAGGTACAGGCCGCCTCTGCCCCTGTTGCCTCCCTGTGTCTCCCCAGAGTGCAGCCCTGACACCTGTGAGTGCCCCAACCACATCCTCCTGGGCTCTGTGGTCACCCGATCCGGGCAACCACTGCCGGGAGCCAGGGTCTCTCTGCGAGACCGGCCTGGTACCATAGCCACCAGTGATGCCCACGGAACCTTCCGGGTGCCTGGCGTGTGTGCCGACAGCCAGGCCAGTGTCAGGGCCCACATGGATGGCTTCTCTGCAGGGATGGCCCAGGCCCAGGCCAACGGGTCTGTCTCCACGGTTACCATCGTCCTTGATAAATTGCGTAAGTGACCTTGCAGCAAGGGCCATGGGGGGCTGAGGAACTGGGGAGGAAATCCCAGCACTGAGGTATACCAGGAAGAAATAAGACATAACACAGCCATTGGAGAAGGTGTGGGGTGAAACTAGGGCATCCCTGGGAGAAGGGAGAGGACAGGGACCTGCTCTTGGGAAGGGTCATTGGGAGAAACTGAGTCAGGGCAGAGCCCTGACCTTTGCCACCTTGCCCCTCAGAGAAGCCCTACCTGGTGAAGCACCCCAAGTCCCGAGTGCGGGAGGCTGGCCAGAATGTAACCTTCTGCTGCAAAGCCTCGGGGACCCCTATGCCCAAGAAATACTCCTGGTGAGTGCCTGCCCCGGGGTTCAGGAGCCTCTTGTCTGGCTTTGGGGTTGGATTGGATCTCCCGTGATTATGTGGTGCCTCAAAGACTGTCTGGAGGTAGATGCCAGCCTCGGTTTCCCATCTGGAAAGTGGGAGAAGCTTTGAGAGGTGTGAGTGCGTGGGAGAGAGGCTACCGAGGAGGCTGACCCTGGGGAAGTCACTCTGCAGCTCCCTGGCCACCCCCCAGCCCTGTGGTGTTGCCCACCCACCACCCAGGTTCCACAACGGGACCCTGCTGGACAGGCGAGCGCACAGGTATGGGGCCCACCTGGAGCTGTGGGGGCTACGGCCAGACCAGGCTGGTATCTACCACTGCAAGGCGTGGAATGAGGCGGGTGCCGTGCGCTCGAGCACCGCTCGGCTCACCGTGCTTGGTGAGTGTCCTCTGCCCGACCCTGCCAAGCCCTGACACTGAACGCAGCTGGGACTCAGGCTAAACCTCAGCCCCAAACGCAGCCCCAACATCAGACTGATCTCTGACCCCGCTGAGTCCAGTCCCAGGGCCCCGCTGAGCCCCAACCTCCAGTTATTACCCTGGGCTGAGCCCCCACCCCTTGGTTGACCCCTGACCCCAGACTGAGCCCCCAGCCTTGGAGTCCAGGGAGCCCTCCCCTGGCCCTGACCTGGCTGTTTCCTTGCTCCCCAGCCCCAGGCCAGCCGGCCTGTGACCCCCAGCCCCGGGAGTACCTGGTCAAGCTCCCAGACGACTGTGGGCAGCCTGGCAGCGGCCCCACCTACCTGGATGTGGGCCTCTGCCCCGACACTCGCTGCCCCAGCCCTGCAGGCTGGGGCCCCCGGTGTGGGGACGACGGTTCCCGCTGCTGCTCCGTGCGCCGCCTCCAGAGCAGGGAGATCCACTGTTCTGGCTATGTCCTCCCGGTGAAGGTGGTGGCTGAGTGTGGCTGCCAGAAGTGTCTGCCCCCCCGGGGGCTGGTCCGGGGCCGTGTGGTGGCTGCGGACTCGGGGGAGCCACTGCGCTTTGCCAGGATCCTGTTGGGCAGGGAGCCGATTGGCTTCACCTCCTACCAAGGCGACTTCACTATCGAGGTGCCGCCCTCCACTGAGCGGCTGGTGGTGACTTTCCTGGACCCCAGCGGTGAATTCATGGACGCTGTTCGGGTCTTGCCTTTTGACCCTCGAGGTGCCGGGGTGTACCACGAGGTCAAGGCCATGCGGAAAAAAGCTCCGATCGTCTTGGATGCCAGCCAGAGCAACACGATCCCCCTGGGGGAGCTGGAAGACGAGGCACCCTTGGGCGAGCTGGTCCTGCCGCCTGGAGCCTTCCGCAGTGCGGACGGCAAACGCTACTCGGGGCCTGTGGAGGCCCGGGTGACCTTCGTGGACCCCCGAGACCTCACCTCGGCCACTGCCGCCCCCAGCGACCTGCGCTTCGTGGACAGTGACGGTGAGCTGGCCCCGCTGCGCACCTACGGCATGTTCTCGGTGGACCTCCGCGCCCCGGGCTCCGTGGAGCAGCTGCAGGCAGGGCCCGTGGCCGTGCGTGTGGCCTCCGACCAGATCCGCATGGCGGGCCACGCGGAGGCCCTCAAGCTGTGGTCGCTGAACCCTGAGACCGGCTTGTGGGAGGAGGAGAGCGGCTTCCGGCAGGAGGGGTCCTCGGGCTCCCGCGTGCGCCGCGAGGAGCGCGTCTTCCTGGCGGGCAACGTGGAGATCCGAGAGCGCCGCCTGTTCAACCTGGACGTGCCCGAGCGCCGCCGCTGCTTCGTGAAGGTGCGCGCCTACGCCAACGACAAGTTCAGCCCTGGCGAGCAGGTGGAGGGCGTGGTGGTCACGCTGGTCAACCTGGAGCCCGCCCCTGGCTTCTCCGCCAACCCCCGCGCCTGGGGCCGCTTCGACAGCGCGGTCACCGGCCCCAACGGCGCCTGCCTGCCTGCCTTCTGCGACGCCGACCGGCCCGACGCCTACACGGCCCTCGTCACGGCCACCCTGGGCGGCGAGGAGCTGGAGCCGGCGCCCTCCCTGCCCAGGCCGCTCGCGGCCACCGTGGGCGTCGCCCAGCCCTACCTGGACAGGCTGGGCTACCGCCGGACGGACCACGACGACCCCGCCTTCAAACGCAACGGCTTCCGCATCAACCTCGCCAAACCCAGGCCCGGCGACCCAGCTGAGGCCAACGGGCCGGTGTACCCGTGGCGCAGCCTGCGGGAATGCCAGGAGGCGCCGGTGACCGCCAGCCACTTCCGCTTCTCCCGCGTGGAGGCGGACAAGTACGAGTACAACGTGGTCCCCTTCCGCGAGGGCGCGCCTGCCTCCTGGACGGGGGATCTCCTGGCCTGGTGGCCCAACCCGCAGGAGTTCCGGGCCTGCTTCCTCAAGGTGAAGATCCAGGGCCCCCAGGAGTACATGGTCCGCGCCCACAACGCGGGGGGCAGCCACCCGCGCACCCAGGGCCAGCTGTACGGGCTGCGGGACGCCCGCAGCGTGCGAGACCCCCAGCGTCAGGGCACCTCCGCCGCCTGCGTGGAGTTCAAGTGCAGCGGGATGCTGTTCGACCAGCGTCAGGTGGACAGGACGCTGGTGACCATCGTGCCCCAGGGCAGTTGCCGCCGCGTGGCCGTCAACGGGCTCCTTCGGGACTACCTGGCTCGGCACCCCCCACCCGTGCCCGCCGACGACCCGGCTGCCTTTGCCATGCTGGCCCCCCTGGACCCTCTGGGTCACAACTATGGTGTCTACACAGTCACTGACCAGAGCCCGCGGCTGGCCAAAGAGATCGCCATTGGCCGCTGCTTCGACGGCTCCTCCGATGGCTTCTCCCGGGAGATGAAGGCTGATGCCGGCACGGCTGTCACCTTCCAGTGCCGGGAGCCGGTGGCCGGGAGGCCCAGCCTCTTCCAGAGGCTGCTGGAGTCCCCCGCGACGGCACTCGGAGACATCCGCAGAGAGATGGGTGAGGTGAGCCGGGCACAGGCCCGAGCCTCGGGTCCCCTCCGCACCCGCCGGGGCAGGGGCCGGCAGTGACCTGGGCCTGTGTAGCTTTCCTGCCTCTCTCCGGACTCTGCTGTCCCCGGGAAGTCTCGCCCCCCTTTCTTCCCCAGACGGCCCCCTGCCCAGGTTTCTGGGTCGGCTTTCCCCTCCCCTGCCCGGGATTTAGGGTCAAGACAAGAACTGGGAGGTGGAGTTTGCTCTGGCTTTGGAGCCAGCGCCCTGAAACTGCGGGGGCACATCCAGCCCGGCGGGAGGGAACTGCTCCCAGCTCAAAAGCCATCTCTGACTTTCGTGTGTATTTTGATCCTGGTTCCAGATCCTCTGCCCTTCGTGTTTCTGATGTCTGTCACGCAGCCTTCTTGCCGCCTGTTGCGGAACTTCCTGCCCCGAGCTTTGTTCCTGGGGTTATTTATTGAAACAAAGAGTCGGGGGCTGGTTGTGGGGGTTACTGGGGGTCCAGGCTGGGCCCGATGAAAGTGGGGAAGGGGCTTCTTGGGGTCCCATGCGGGGGAGGCTCTGGGGCTGGGAGGGGGACAATTCTCATGTGTTTGGTGCTTGGAGACCCCCGGGGGTTCGGGGCAGATCCTCCGGGGGCTCAATTAAAAATGCTTTATTTCCAACCCACGGTGTCAGGCTTTGGGGCGGAAGGATGGAGGCTGGGGCTGCCCGACCAAGACGGGACTTCGCAGACAGAAACTCGCGAGGCAGAAACACTGGGCACACGAGTGCAAGCAGCTCATGGGCCCCAAGGGCCTGGGGCAGGTGGGTGGGCCCCAGCAGCCACGCAGAGACACACGTGAGCCACCTGAGCCTGTGTGGCCGTGACCGCTGAACACAGTAGCAGCCACTGGCCTGGCCTCCTCATCTGCACCTGCAGCGGGCAGGGACGGCCCTGGCAGGGGAATGTCTGGGGCAGGCGGCAGCAAGCGAGGTCACCCTGGACTTGCTCAGCCGGGTCAAGGCCCCGCCGGCCACACCTCAGCCACGTGGTGGCAGGGCTGCTGAGACCAGGCTCCCAGGCTCTCTGACCTTGCCAGGCCCCTCAGACTGGAGGAAACAGAATCACGTCTGGCTGGCACTCCGTGTGTGTGGCCACACGAGTCCTGACATCCGACGGGGAAGGCGCTGTTCTGACCACACACCCATTTTGCAGGCAGAGAAACCAAGGCCCTGGCCCTGGCGTGAATCTGGCAGGAACGGGGACTCCCTGGATGGCCCAGCAGCTTTGAGCTCCCTTGATTCCCCTGGCCAGGGGACATTGGTCCCTGGAAGGTGTCAATGTGGTGTGGGTAGAGGGGCCACCTCCACCCACAAGGGTGGGAGGCTTGTCCCCGGCTAACCACCCCCAGGGAAGGGGTGCCAGCGGGGGCGGGGTTCTGCACACCCACCCACTTCCTCTTCAGTCACCCACCCGTCCTCTCGCCCACCTCCCCACACCCTCAATCGCGTTACAGGCATCAGCTCTGTGCCAGCAATACCAGGGGCCCCGAGAGAGCCAGGCCTTCTGGGGTGGGGGAGATGGGCTCACACGTGCAGACCCCAGCACAGCCTGGGGTCAGTGCTCAACCACAGGGCCCCCGGCTCTGCCCCATCTGGCCTCCGCCACCCTAGGCTTGGGCCTTGGCAACTCTCAACCTCTGCAGTCCTCACCAAGCCATTTCCTCCTCTGGGCAAACGTTCCCGTGCCCCAGGGTGGGCGTGGGGGCCTGGAGGGCCGGAGGGGAGAAGCCGGCAAATCCAAGGGCATCACTGCCAGTCTCCGAAGGTGGGCCCTAGGGCTCTGCTGGAGTCCGGGTCGGGGAGGCCACAGGCCTCGCACCCCAGCCTCACCCTGGACAGTCTGTGATGGACAAGAGACGGGAGGGACCTGGCAGGGGGTGGGGCACACACATTTATCCAGGACTTACTGTGCCTACACCCCGAGATGACAGGGGTGCTCAGAGGCCACAGGCCCCACCCAAAGCAACCCAGACCCCAGGCCTGCCTGTCCCAGAGCCCTGCTGAGGGCGGCCTAGTGGGGTCCTGGGAGTGGCAGAATGGGGGGGCCTCCCCTGCCGCCCGCGGGCGAATTGGCTGCAGCGTCGGGGCTGATGGTGATGAGGTGTCGGGCTCCACGGCCAAATACCTTTCACTGGGGAAGTGCTGGGGCCTCAGCTGCTGCCAGGCCTGGGGCAGCCAGCTGGTCTTGGGATGGGCAGCCGGCCCAGCCCCCGTTCTCTTCCCTAGCGCGGGCAGGCGTGCGCGGGCATCCTCCTGAAGCCCCCTCCCCAGCAGCCGTGGCCGGGCCAGGCAGGGCACCTCAGGAGGATGGCACTGCCCAAGCTAAAGCCCTGGCCCCTCCCCACCCCTGCGGACAGCACAGCCTCTGGCTCCAGTTTCCAGATGAGGAAACTGAGGCTCCAGGAGGAGGAAGCCACCATGCTGAGTTGACAGTCCTGTGCCTCCGGACGCTGTCGTAGCCCTCCAGCCGGGCGTCCAAACCCCTACCTCCTGGAGCTCCGGCCAGCATCTGCCTCCTGGAAAATCCATTGCCCCCCCCAAACTCGGGCTGCCAGACCACACCCCTCAGGCTGGGGGTGCGAGGGGGCATGAGAGCCCTCCCACAAAGACCCCAGCTCCAGCCACCCTGGGGTCAGCTCAGGCCGCAAGAAAGCCCTTGATCCCACTCAAGGCATTTTAGGCTTTTATAATTTTAGAACCAGGGGTTCTTAAAATTCCTAGTACCACTATGGGCAGAAAAATCTTGGAACAGTAAAATGTTTAAAGCAAGAGTCTTAAAACTGCAGGGTCCAAGAGGAGGAAGATAAAAATGAACACACGTTGAGTGCCGACTGGATGTAAGCCCCTCCACCCACCCTGCCACCAAGGCCTAATTCACATTAAGAGCATTTAATATATTTTTATAGTCTTGGGGCCCGAAAATATGCTTTTAGGGAAGGTGATTTTCACCCCCTTTTCATAGCTGAAGGGGTTTGCCCAGGTAGGGTCACACAGCAAATGGGGATGCCGTGGGCTGGGGGGAAGGGCAATGTTTCCTGGAGAAGGGAATATAGGTGGTGGGGTCTTGAGGGATGTGTAGGAGTTTGCCAGGTGGGCAAGGCAGGAAGGGGGGCATTCCAGGCAGCTGGAAAAGTATATGCAAAGGCTGGAGGAGTGGAACCTCCATGGAGGGCAGCAGAAGGCAGATACATAGGGGAAGTGAGCAGGGCCTTGAATGCTGAGCGAGGAGTCTGAGTTCTCTCTGGCAGGCGATAGGGAGCCACAGAAGGTGCTGGAGAAGGGAGGGGTTATAGAAGTCTCGTGACAAATACTCCCCTGGAGCTGGTGCAGGATTCAGCTTGTTGGAAAGTGTTTCTTGCATAAAACTAGGGTCTGTTCCCTCCCACTTGGCGGCCCGTGCAGGGTCCAAACCCAGAAGCCCAGCGCCCTCTCCCCGTCAGCCGCCTCCTGTCCTGGCTGAACATCCCTGGCTCCTCTATCGGGGCCTCGTGGACCTGGCGCGGCCACCCACCACTTCCCCAGCCCCGTCTGTCTCTCTCATCAGCCCTCGGCGTTGGGCAGGACCCACTTTCAGACCCCAAAGACTGGAGCCAGCCTGGCGGGGAGACCTGGCTTCAGTCAGGTGGGGGACATGCTTGCACTTTAGTGGTGGAAGTGAAGGCAGGTGCCAGCAGGGAAGTGCATGCCAGGTGAATGCCGACGTCACACTGCCTGACCCCTCCAGGGCAGGAGTTGAGCCAGACTCCAGGTCCTGGGGTCCGGGGGTCCAGGCAGGTGGGAGGGAGGAGATCCCAGTGACGGGGGGGCAGCAGACACCCACTCTGGAGGTGGACAGAGGGAAGCATACGTCACCCTACACAGGATGGGTGTGTCACATAGAGCCAGACACACCCACCATCAGTCCCAAGGTCACACTGTCCTCGTCACACCCTGCCCTGTCCCCTGCAGGCAGATACTCCTTCCCATACTTCCCCACTACCTTCCTGTCACCCAGCTGGTGGCACAGCCATACAGGCAGTCACACCCAAAAGGTGCATGGGGCCGGGCACGCTGTGCACACAGGACACGCCGGGCACCGCCGCCGCCTCACAGCCACGTGGGCGGCCAGCCTCCCCCGGCGCGAAGCGGCGCTGGGGGAACACGCGGCAGCGCCCGCCGCCCTGCGCACCTGCGTGCGGCCCGCTCGACCCGCCCATCACCGCGCACATCGCCCTCACTGGACCCCAGACGCCCGGCCGGCCCGAGTCAGGGCTGACTCCGGCCGCCCACCACCCTCCGGGGGTCAGACCCGCCGGGCGCTCGCAGACCGCCCGCCCGCTCGGGCCCTGGGGAGGGGCGGCGGGGGTGCCCCAAGGTCCCAGCCGCTTTTCCAGGGAAGTCCTGAATCCCTTCCTGCTGACTCAGCCCCGGGCCGGCTGGGCCAGGCGCTGCCAAACCTCAGGTATGTCCTCGACGGCCGCCTGGCGGGGGCTCCCGCTCAGCCTCCCGGCCTGCCCCAGATGGAGCTGGAGTTTTAACTGCGGCGCTTGAGGCAGGGCGCCAACGTGGTGGCGGCTGAGGCCCGCTGTTCCCGCCCCAGATCTTCCCGGCTGAGGGCTGGGGGAGGAGTAAGCTCCCGGCCGAGCCAGAGTAGCCCCGTCTGGCTGCGGCTCCGTCATGAAGGGGCCTAGCTCAGCCCACTCCCTCTGCCTCGTAAAGACGCCACTGTCTGGTGGGAGCTGGCCTGGCTGCCAGTCCTGGGGCCCAGCACGGGGACACACACGCAAATGGGCACACACGTGCTCCCGTGTGATGTCTGCACGTAGACCTGTGGGTACATGTACACTTCACCGTGCACAGACTCAGCCCCGGGAATGCCCTGACGGAGCCCCAGTCACAAGGGAGAGGCAGCGCTGGTCACAGATGCCCCAGCCTGTAGAGTCAGGGTTGGGTTAGCAAGAGGGCCAGGGCTGGGAGAACCCCAGAGCAGGGCCCAGGGAAAGCTTTCTGGAGGAGAGGGCATTTTGATATGGGCTCTGGAGGGTAAATAGGAGTTTGCCAAACCAGGATCAACTGTCCAAAGGCCTTGAATGCTAGTTTTAGAGTTTACCTTTGTCTGTGAGGATTTTGAGCAGGGGAGGGACACAGTCAGACAAACTTCAATTCACTACCTCCTTTTGAGGACCAGCCTCTGCCCTCAGG